TTTTTCTCCCCACATTGGGTAATCTACGTTCCGAAGTTAAATAGAGCAATTTTAATCTCGGTGTTCGCGCGTTCGCTCAACCAACTCACTGGGACAGTTGTAATTATGAAAGTTGGTACCGAATTCTCCGATTCGCCTAAAAAAAATTTTCGGAATGAAACCATATGCCATATGCAGTCCAATTGTCTATGCGGTATATAGTAGCTAATAAAATGTTCTCCTACTCTTAATGTTTATTCAGGCACAATCGCATTAGTAAATATAAACATTTAGTGATGATTTAATCAAACGATTACAGCCATTTACAGTGGTGGATCGACATCGAGTGCCGGTACTGATATTTTAGACCTTTCGATGCCAGACAAAAATTCAGTTACAGAAGTCTGTTACGTATGCGGAGACGAATTCAAAAGAGGGTCACTTAGTCATATTGCAGCAAAACCACTGCCAACCCCGCCACATCCCTCTGCCAGTCCCCCGCCATTTTTTCCTTCGCTAATGCTTCATCCAAGACCAAGCAGAAGCCGACCAATGGACAGTGCTGGTCGTGTACAAGTATGTATTGTTATTATCATTGTTGTTCTATTGTTACTCCTTATTCTAATCATATTAAAAGCTGTCTTTTAAGCGCACGTATATCTAATGACGCAAAAATTCGTAACGTGAAAATTAACATGAATTTACATTTATACAATCAAGCATATATCACTTTGTTCTATTATGCTTTGCCATTTGCCAAGGTAACTTGATTTCACAATGATTTCATCCAGAATTTGGCATCTTTGAAGATGAATTGTTCCAGGTAAACCAAAATTCTTCCCATTGAAATAGTTTTGCAAGTATCTGAACAAATAGAAATCAGAGGATATATCCCAAACAAGTTGCATCAATTTCTCGGGTTTACAAAGAATTCGAGATGCTTTTCGCCAATGGCTGCATCTAATTGGACACAGTATTTATTCGAGTCCAATGTGTGTTTCTGCAGAAGAAAACTCGTAGTACATGATACTCTTGCAATTCCACTATATACAGAGCGTCACTTTTCTTGGATGCAACTCGGCTCTTAGAATGATTAATGGTGGCTCATTCTGTTTTCTTCATGATCTTTTTCGCCACCTGTAATTAGTCCTTTTAAAAATAAGTCATTTTCATTGTACTTTAGCAAGGAATCGCTAATAGAAATATGTATAGTTCATGACCTTTCAACACTCACATTAGATATGTAGTATGAGCGTGGTGTGAATTATTTTCAATAGATGCCAATATTTGGCCACCATCAATGCTTACAGATCTGCCGAAATGTTGTCTATCTTACAGATCAAAATTGTCATTTTTAGAACAGACACTTATGGTAGTTATATGGATATATAATCATCTCTATAAACAGTATCAGATAATGCATTACATTTTCTGTCATTTTAACTTCTTATGTACACACTCCTAAAATTCTGAAAACCAAAGAGAATTAATTGCAGAAAACAAGCACTTAAAACAGTTTTAAGTTGATTACATCAATTGTTTGAACAATTAGTGGAAAAAAAAATTCATTTCATATTCTGCCACCTGTTAAAAGACGTTACGAACTTTTGTGCCAACCAACCATAAATATGTGGCTTTTGTACTTAAAATTTAATATGTATTTTTGGTTATAGGCCTGTTCAGCATGTCAAAATCATCTTCTGTTACAATGGAAGGCATATACCCGGCAAGGAGTCCCTCACGATGATCGGAATTATACGCTTCGTAAACGACAAGCACCCACTATGGATACAACTACTTTTATCTGTTATACTTGCGCGCTTGAGTACCCTTCGTCCAGTATTAGACTCCTTTATTGCTGTCCTAATCCCGAGAAGGAGGCGTACTATCCTTTTATTTATTCTCTGAGACCTCCGCAAGGAGCTAGTCCTATTAGCCCTCAGGGAATGGTGCAAGTTTGCTCCATTTGTTATAAAACTATACCACAGAAGCAACAAGTATTTGGTGGAGAGAATCACGAGGCTCAACCGTCTGGACAGAGCGTGGATTTTCGACAGCAAGGTCCCTCACCGAGACCTGCGGTGGCAAAGTCTCCGGCCAATTCTGCTGGTAGTGATATTCGTTTCAAACCGTACGATTTAAACAAATCGAGCGTTGCTACGAATAAACAACGCAGCGCGACCATAAAAGGATCCACTCCTGGGCAACGAAATTCTCCGAACGGTCCCGCTGAAAACGGAACTGTCGTTCTCGGCCAAAATTATAGGTGCTATATTTGTGAGAGATTGTATCCTCGTTCTCATATGAAATGGTACAAGTTTTAGATGACTGTCATTTTTTTTTTTTTT